TAGTGCTTCTAACTAGATGCGAAGTTTTTTGGCGTATAAATATGTATTCATTTTGAGGCCTTTCTGCCAGCTTTTTGGACACCTCATGAATTAATAATTTCCATATGCACAGCTGAAACGCTGTGATTACGTAGGCATTTTTGGGCTGACCTGGAAATGGTCAAGGAATGTGGATATTATGATTGGAAAATTTGTTTTGGGATTGGTTAAAACGTTTTAGGTTTTCGAAAATGAGGTTGTCATTGTTCATTGCTTTACGAATCATCGGCAGTTGGATGGCCATAATGATAAAACAAAATTCTGGCATTAGATCGCAAAAAAATCAGGAGGTAGTAAAGAGACAATTCTGAGATTGCTAGAAGCGGATCCTGCAAAGTCGGGAAGGTCAAATACACAATTAAGGGTAGATCAGGAACTAAAGAGGCAAATTCCAGGATTAGTGCTACAAGAACAAAAATTAAGGATTGAGTTGAAATTTAGAAATGTTTACCACAGAAATGGTTTATCATACGTTTGTTCAGGCAAAAATAAATAAATAAATAAAAAAGTGCACTGATAATTGGTGGCTGAAAGAAATTTAGCCTACTTTAAATTATTCAAAAACAAAGTACACCATTTTTAAAAAGGCAGAAAGGCACTTTTGTAAAAATATCAGTAAAGGAAAAAAATTTCGAAGAAAAAAAGAGGAAAGAAGAATTGAGCAGGCCCACTGGATAGAAAAAAATATCAAAAGAGTGTACTAAAATAATACTGATTGAAAAAGAAAAAGGAGCAGAAAGGAAAGTTAGAGAATAAAAAAGCTTAACTTTTAATTAATTTCATTAGCGGTTAAACAGAGTAAAATGTTTACAAACTCCAAATTCATTTGTTTAAAAATAAATTCCTTATAAAACTTGGGTAAGCACAAAATACAGTGTACCTGTATGAGTAGCTGAAGTTTTATTTGACAATAGTAATAGGTTACTGAAATAAACAACTATTTACATGAAAAAATTTTACAGAAAAGCTGAGTTGTTTGCTTCTTTTTTTTTTTTTTCTTTTAGACTTATCAGCTATAAATTATATTGAGAAAACTTTTGAATTGCAAATTTTTGACTGGTCCATTAGTCATTTTAAAAGTTTACCGAGCGTCGATTTTTGATTTCTTCTAAATGTGTCTTTATCAGGCTTTATAATGTGAGCAATTCAAAATGCTAACTTTTAAAACGCTTGATTTTGGCGCTAAATTTGTCTGCTTGAGGATATGAACAGTTTACTCGTAAATCGCTCTCGACAGTACGCCAGACAAGAATTGCGCCTATATACAATTTGCACTACTGGTTGCGATATGTCTGCTCGGTGCAACTATACCGGTGTATTGGCGATGTTGGGTAGTTATAGCGTAGAAATATGGGAAACCTGTTGCTAGTTGATATTTGATAAGTGCAAGTATCTAATGGCAGAATATCTATGACTTCGAGCAGCCATAAAAAGTTTTTTGTTATGTCAAGTAGGCAAGGTAAAAGTGTTTTTCCACTTTTTTTGTCTCAAATGTATATATTCTGGCCACTTATCTTTGGCTGTTTTAAAATTTTAATAGCCTGTTTATCGACATAAGTTGTGGAAAATAAATTTTTTCTTTCTTGGAAAAATAATCTAACTGTTACACTGTTATAGTGAAAAAGACGGAAATTTCCATAATTATTTGAAACATTCAAAGAGTGATTTTTTTTGGCCAGTATAGTTGTTGATTCTGTGATATAAAAACATTAAATACATTATAAATACAAAGTTATGTGAAGGTTTTGGTATAACTAAATTAGTAGTACGATTTTGTCTAGTGACAGCTGAGAGACAAATGTGTTCATTACAATTGCTACACTGCCGTTCTTTTTTTTTATTTTTTGTTGAGCAAGTGTAGTTGCAACTTTATTTTTTGCTTCAGACGGAAAAAAATTTTTGCATTTATTACTGTTGTTTAAAGAACACTAGTTGTGGGAGTTGGTTGATCAATTTTTGAAGATTCATTTTTAGATGTTTCAGTAGTTTTGTTGTGTTTCTGCTCATTTGAAATTAATGGTTTTGATCATCTGACAGCCACATTTATAGTTCTGAGAAAGATGCCGATGTTTCTGCAGGATTTGTAACACTTACTGATTTTTTCTGTCAGACACCGTTTGTTTTAAAAAATCAGTTTAATACGTCTATTCAAAAAGCGAGAATCGGTAGTGACCTGCGTATAAGCCTGTTCCTGTAGATAGTGCAGTGAAAGGAAATGATACAGAAAACAAATTGGCAGTTTTTATCTACAAAGTTAAAAGATATTATGAGTACCATGTAATCTCCAAATGGGACTTTTTGCAGTGTATTCACAGTCTGCATGAATGCTTATGGCCTCGCTGCGGTTTATTGTGGTTGTTGTAATCGTTCATTGGCAGAGCGTTGCAAAAAACACCAGACTGCAGAGATATTGGGTTACTTTGTGACAGGAAAATAAGGATGTGGAATAAAGGAAACTAATTGTTGCTTGGCTCAAAAGATTTAATATTTTTGCTTTTTTTGTATTAGAAAAAAATGACAAGAAGGTAATGGCCTTCAAGGCGTTTTTTGAACTAATGGGATGTCGTTCGCCTTAGCAACAGGAAATTGTCTAAAACTTTCTGTAATTCCTGCGGATGATCATTGATCGTATCATTTTGACTCTTGGCAGGTATGTTTTGACCAAGCTTTGGAATAAAAAAAACTAATTCTGGTTATTATTTTGGTAATCTGACCAACTGTAAAGGTGAATTTTGTTAGTAGTGTTTAAAGGCTGCAGAGTGGCTCCACTATACTCATTTCCTGTCGTCTATACCTCTGAAGTGTTATTTTTGTACAGTTCCGCAGTGTAAATTGAGCGATAAGCAAACAGGATAATAATGTAATATGCATCATTTGGTGCTTTAGAATAATTTAGGTAATGCGAATTTCTAATTAAAAATTTTCGACTGAAGGCACGACCGTCGTTGTTTATGATTTATATGCCATGCGTCGTGGCTGCAGCTGTAAATTTGGCATTAGGTAACAACGAGGACGTCCAGTTCAGTCATAGATGTTTTCAACAAGGAAGAATAAAGTAAGTTACCTTCAAATTTCTAAGTCTTTAGATTTATTTCTAATAATTTGAACTGCATTTTCTGTTAGATGTTTTGTAAGTAGTCAAATAGAAACCAAATGTGACTCTTGTTGCAGTTTAAAGGTTTTTTCTTTGATTGATGAGTAGTTTTGGATTTATTTTAGAAGAAATGATGATGGTAAAATCTCTAACGTCTAACAATAATTTAAGTTTTCCACTGAACTGAGAGGGATTTTAGAATCGCTGCTGATTGAATATTATTGTAAAGTTTGGTCTCTTAATAAGTTTTTGGCTTGAATGACGGAAAATAAGCATTTTTCGTTTTGATTTCAAGTGTTTTATGAAAGGTACTGAGAAGTTAATATGATGATTGAAAACTTTGTTTTCGCATTGACATTTAAAATTTCCCTTTTTTTTGTGTTTCCTTTAAATCTTAAAAAATGTAATGTTGAGAATTGAATTTTTCTGGCAAGGCGTTTGGTCTAACTTTGTTTTGGTTCTTGTGCCATTATTATTATTATTATTATTATTTTTTTTTTTTTTTT